ACACCATGACAGAAAGAAGATAGTTCTCATTGCAAGCAGTCTTCAAACTGTTTTACTTTTCAGCCACACAAAGACATACCTGAGGTATCAGGAGAAGAACCAGGAGAGGAAACTATGTCTCTTTGTTTAGAGGAGTGATGGGAAAGCTTAAAGAAGACACAAACAAACTATTTTTAGATCCCTTTACAAACGGCCACTTTAAATCAGTGTAACCAAACTTAGATGTGTGGCCCACATACTGAATGAGAACACTAAACTATTTTAGAGCTTTTGTTTTCTTAGTGTCTGCCATGTAAATCCAGTAAAACATAGTAATGACTCTGCTGGTTGGGGCTTTTCACAGGGTGATAAACTGTTTAAAGTTGAAGAGTTCAATGTACTTTGCAGTAGCAGAATCACTCACCGCAGTGCTCCTGTTCGCCCGCAGTTTTCCACCTACCTCTTCCAATGGAGAAGTCAATAGAGCGGCAAAGCCAGGCCACAGTAACGGCAGACAGAGCAGAGTTGTAAAAAACATGTTTCCCCTCTTCCTGTGCGACGACCTGCTCTGCTTTAACATCAGGACAATATGCGATCCTGCTCTTCAGCAGGACAGAGCCCGGCCAAGAGGATAAGAGTAACGTCTGTTTATGTAAACAGTGGGGACAAAGTTGATAAGTGGCGCACGTCATTTGCAAGTTTATTTTTTCAACGTTGGGACCAATAGGACAGCTCTCATTGTTTTGTTTTTTTCTACTACTAATTTGTGTAATTTTTTTGTCTTTCGTCACTGAGCAATAAAAACTGTTAGAATCCGTTTTAGACTTTTTGTTTTTGAAACATTTTGATCGTGAGAAAGAATTGGGCATGGCAGCTGCATACTTTTCTAAGTCCAACTTTGGATCAAACCAGTATTTATATTTCCGCCTTTGACATCTGCAATCACTACTGATTTTAACCCAATTATTATAAATAAAATGTTTTGTGATGTTTCCTTTTTTAGCCATTAGAGGGCAGACATAATCCTCTGGTTGAACTGAAAGACACTGGGAGGGAAAGGAAGCTCACACACACTCTTCAACAGTGTAACATAATAACATCCATTATATCCATGGCAGACATAAAACCATATCTAATTCTTAACTGCCTATTTGGAAGGCGGAAGATTTACAGAGGAAACGATAAAACGGAAACAGTAAAGCTGAGATTGAATAGCTTTAGCCTTTTGGTCACGGCTGTTTTTGGGACCATGGGACCCTTTTTGCAAAATGTTACTATTAGTAGTGGTTTTATTTTTATTATTTGTTGGCTGTCATGTCAATGATAATGCTTTCTTTGCTTTAGATGAAAAAAAAATCAGGTTGAACAGGCCCCTACAGATTTGTCCTACTTTAAACTCAGCTTGTATATAACATGCTCCTCCTACTATAATAATGATACACATGTCCAGAAATGACCCAACTGTATTTCACCTTTTCAGATAAGCTCTACAATGCTCTTTAACCGTACTGCATAAATGTGTTTCACCCATCCTGTCTGTCTGCTCCTCTCCATCCTCTTCCTTTCAGAGAGCGGATATTTTATCTCCATAAAGCTAGGATTCAAGTCCCATCTGCTGTTAGTCTGCCAGATATCTGCCTGTTGTCAGTCTGAATTAACAGCTGGGTGTTACAGCCATTACACCACCAGTGCTGCTCCACTAAAACCTCAATGCCCTGCTGGATTTACAGAGCACAACAGACTGCGATAAGTGTGGTTGAATCCTACCCATGTCTGTTTGGAAGAGGGTAGGGATTGTATATTTATGATGCTCAATTATATATAACTAGCCATATGGGATGCTCAAGTGGGTACAACAGACGCCTCAGGAAATGTATCCCGGTTGTAGGTAATGAAAAATTAGGAACTTTCTTGGAATTAAGTAAATCCTAGAGAACTGATAATGGATACGGCCACATTTCCTTTCCGTCTTTGTTATGACGTTTTTTGTCTCAATATCCATTATTATTATTCTACTAAACCTTCAAACTGGTATGTCACTTGCCATAACCCTTTGGATAGACATTTGGCTAACTACAGTTTGTTTTGTGAAGCCCAACCTCTCAGCCTTTTATTTTGAGATGCATTTATGTAGAGTGCCTTGTACATACAAGTATTCTCGTTCATCCGTTGCCCTTTGTCATTCCCTCCATCTGTCACCCTGTTGAAAAAGATTTATGCTTGCAAAAACTATAAATGTTTACTATTCTTTTTACGACAGCCCATCAACTATTTTTTTATTTTGTTTGGGTTTTGTAGGAAAGTTAAAAATGAATGGTAGAGTTTTATTGTTTTACAGAAAATGATTTAGTTCAGGAGCTGGCATGATAACCTTGCTTTCTAAGCACAGTCACAGCCTGAAAGAAAAAATAATCAAATATTTAGCTTTACTCTTGTAAGTCATCAATTGTCTTGTTTACATTTAGCACACCTTTCTTGTTTTGACTCATTGAAGCTGCTTTTCTGTTGGGAATGTGACTATTTATAAAACTGCCAGAGTTATGGGTCAGATGTTGATTCAAAGTTACATAAAAATATCACCACCAAATAGTCATAACATCCGTTTTTCAAATATATTGATCAATCATTATGTGCTTTGTTTATGAGCAACTCTATCTTCAAGTTCTAATACGACAAAACCCGTAAACTCCAGAAAGATGGAGGTCTTTACTCCCTTCTTCTTGTTTTTGCTGCTAATTAAGACAAATATTGTGTTGATGGTGTATTGTCAGCACTAAAGATGATGACTTTTCAGCCTGTAACGCAATACTGAAGGTGCTAAAACTCAGTGGCACTACAAAATATACAGACATTTTCCAGGCAGTGATTTTCTCCAAGTAGTACCCCAGCTGTTTTAGCACATGTCAGCATATCATTGAGATGTGAAGACGCTGCAGGGACATTTAATGATGCCCCTGTGATGATGAGGATTTAATGACAATGCTGTGTGGTTTCTGATAAATGGACAAATATCTGCAAGTAATTGCACAAAATCATTTTCAACGGAAGTCCTTTTTTTATTGATGGAAACTCCACTTTCTAATGTTTATATGCATCTCGGAACAAAAAAAGAATGGAAACCAGTTGCAACTTTGACATGTTTCAATGTGGATGTTTTTGGACTGAAATGTTTCACATTTTTATCAGGAGGAGCCTTGACATATGGAACAACCGGATAACCGTTTCTTATAACCTACAGTTTAATGTTACTTAGTGGTTAGTGGTGAATTGCGCAAATAGTGAGATCTGGAGTTGAAAAACAAAGTCCTAAAAAGAATCACACCTGGTCTCAGGTATACAGCATACACAATCAAATAAAAACATTTTGCCATGGTCTCTTTCTCCAGTCTTCAGCCTTGTTCCCTCTGGGACTACTGTAACTGCAGTGGACTGCAAGGAAGGGCATTGAATACAAATATGGCCAAGTCACACATCCTACATTTAGACCTTACTCTCCAATAAATGGGCAGAAAGCTCCTATTGGGCTGTGGAATGATGGTGTAGCTGTGTTAATGGACAAATGCTATTACTAAACATCTGTCGACATGCAGCTGACGAGACCAGAATTATAACAAGCTGAACATGGAGGTCTAATTGCAAAGTTTAGACTCAAGCACGAGCAAGAGGAATAACAAGCATGAGTAACCAAAGTGATACATTGAGACTCGTGCGGAAAAATGTCATGCCCTTGCGTCTTTTATCTGGCATAATAAATATCTCAATACGTGTGAAGACTGCAGAACATTAATCTTTTGCTTCAGAAATCTGCTTGTGTTTCCTTCTCCTTTAGCAAATGCCCTTCTATACCTAACATATGTGTTTCTCTCATTCCCTCCGCTGGCCTTCTGCTCTCCAAATCAGTAATTATGGTAGACTATGTTTAGATTACCTCAACCTGAATTAACTTGCTCTCTCAATTTGACATCCCACTCTCAAGCTTTTAGACTCTCGTCTAGAACTTTCAAGATACCAATGGATTTCTTATATCATGACTACCTGAATAACTATTACAGAAGTACTTTGAAACAACTTGTATTATATAAAACTCTTGAATCTTAAACAGTTTAATTGTCATTTTTAGCCTGTGAAAAAAGTTGTATAATGTATTTTGTAGCTCTGAAGGGAGCTTTTGAAAGTCTGAGAAAATGATCCTCATAATGCCATCATGTGGTGATAATGATGTGATCAGGGCAATACAACTTCGGCTTGAGTTAACATTTTAGACAGTCTGTGTTAAGACCTTTTGGGTAAAGTTAAAAAGACATGAGCATTTAACAAATGAGGTATAACTGAATACTCTTGAGTTGCATTGTGGGAATTGTAGTGTAGTGAGCTTTGTCCTTACTAAGTAAACAACTTAGAAAATCTCAGCTAATCCTCCTGCATTCATTTTTGACTATGTATTTGTAATCTCTTTTGATTCCTCCAACAATAAAAGTGTATGCTTAACTCCCACATAATCCCTTTATAGTCTGAGATTTAGATGTAGCTAGAAAATGACATCCTACGTAATTTTTAAATAATAGACTATGCTTATACTTTAAAGCATAGTCACCAGCCTTATAAATGTAACATTACAACTCTTGAGTTTTGACATTATATGCCATTAATAATTATACAGCTCTTGCTAAATATAGCCTTACAATAATGGCCACTTTTTAAAAATAAACTAGGTTTCAAATTGATAATAACAACACACACTTGTGCAATGCTAAAGTCAAAGTGCCTCCGTTCATCAACCATGTGAACCCACATCAAAACCCTATATTCACATGATCAATGTTGGACATACCATGCACCTAAAAGTACCACATCTGCCTCTAACGAAAATGGGATAAAATAGTGTTAAAAAGTGAGTTTGGGCTCATATAACCATTATGTGTAAAGGCTCTTAAAGATGGATACAAAGAGTCCCTGTATGACCAGTGGTACCGCGACGTCAGTGTCTCTGGCACCGAGCACGGGTTGGTCGGAGCCAGCAGCAGCAACAGCAGCAGCAGCAGCAACGTCACCCTCTGACGCCGGCATCAGAGCAGCACGGGCGGCCATCCACGCAGCAGCGAGTCGCTCCGGAACTCGGCGGAGGAACACAGCTCGCTGCTTCGGGACTGACTTTCCGCTCTTGTTACTCAGGTAAACCCCGAAGTCGCACTACATTGAAACGCTTTCATTCATTTCAAGGTGAGTTTTATGTGTTTTTTTTGTGTTCACCCAAAAAGGAACTGCGTTTTGGTAACGACCGTTGCGAGTACAATGACTAGCAAGCTCCCCGCACAGGAGCTGTTGTACTGTGGCCATAAACTGTGTGTTGCTATGGTAGTGCCAGGCAACGTCCCACCTGCTGCTGCGACTGTGTTTCTCACTCCTGTCAACCAAAACAAACATAAATAAATTGAAACAAAGCTCCTTTTTCATTCGTGTTGATTCAGCCATTCATTGTGAATTTAAGTGCGTGTGTGTTTGAGATGCGCTGTTTTCACAAGACTTGGATGGGATGGATAATTTCTTAGACCTTTAAGATGTTACCGCCATTTAAATTATGCTCATTGGAAACAATTACCTTTATTATAGCCTCTGCACTTCCATTGTTAACACTCGTCTTGCTCCACATGAGCGTTGCCTGCAGCTTTGGCAGACAGTAGAAAGCTCCTTGCCTGTTTTCAGTGTTTTTCCAGTCCACTGCGCACATGTGTCTGTTGCTTTTAGGTGATAACATATGCTTCCCTTTGTAACTGCTGTTTGTCTGTTTATTTCCATAGTGTCAACACCTAGGACGAGAAAGCTTGACCTAACAAAATATGGTGATTACAAGTGTGGCATTCCTCAGATGGACATCACTGGCCATGGACATGAAGACCAGATGTTTGCAGTAAAGGTGCTTATTGCATACATACAGTAGTTTTCTATTCAGAGGCTTAGACAGCTGCTGTAGTTAGGCATCAGCGCATGCCAACGCAAGGCCCGTGATACAAAGAAATTCCATCATGCCTCGTCTCCTGTCTGCTGTGACAGAGGAGGAAATCACTATCCCATGCTGTCGTGAAGAGAGGAAGGAGGGAAAATAATGAGTCAGAAAAGAGAAGAAAGGAAACCTGTCACTCTTCAAATCCGCCTTTAAGCTTGGTAGACAGCTTGCACACTTATTTTAAGAGCAAGACCAGATCTTTTTTCAGCTGGCATCTAGAACCATGGAACCATGCTGAGCCCTTGCTTGTTTTTGCTATCCATAAATTATTGCTGTAACCTTTTTACTTTTTCTTAAACTTTGATGTCTCTATAAAGGGTTTAGAGTCAACGCTTTAAGTGAGTGCGAAGTGCAGCAGGGTGCATCCAAGATGAGCTCTGTTCATTGTGTTTTAGTTTACACACACCTCCTTATCTGAGCTGTCAAGAGGGAGGATTCTTTTCTACAGTAACTTACCCAGAGCGAGAGAGATAGTTGTGGGAAAGGAGGGGTGGGAGGAGTGAGAAGAACAGAGAATGACTGTGAGGGAGTGAGCGTGCTTAACCCAGCCACCGAGTGACTCTTGTATCCAAGGACGAAGGTAGCAACGCATCTAAACGCCACTCTTCGCCCACAGACTGCGATGAAGAAATGAGGGGATAGGCACTCAGCGGCGCTCATATAGACTTAACAACCTGCAGGTTCTTCTTCCCAGGGCCCCTGTCTGGAGTACCAGGGCTGATGACTGAGCAAATCATGACTGCAGCTATAGTGAACCACACAGAATGTTAGACTCGGCTTGAATAGGAATTTCCTTTTCTTTCTTTTTTTTCCAAAACAAAAGCGAGTTTTCTTATTTACCGGTGTCATTGCACTTAAACTGGCCCACATTTGTGTATGTTTTTGGCAGAGGATCAGACTGGAGAGGAGGGAGTAACAGGTTCTGCGCGCCAAGGTGGATTTGGAGGTGTGGAGGAGAGCTGAAGATCATGGGCAAATCAAACAGCAAGCTCAAGCCAGAGGTGGTGGAGGAGTTGACAAGGAAAACCTACTGTGAGTGCCTTCACGTCTTTTTCTTTGTTTCCTTTTCAGCTAGTCGTTATGAGGCAAATCAATCTTTCTAAAAGTAAAAGACCATACAGTATGTGAAGGGAAATCAAATGTCTCCCCCCCCCCCCCCCCCCCCCTGTTTTTCTTTCATGTTGTACAGTAAATAGCCCTGCCTGCTGGGATGTATCAGGATTCTTCACCCGTTTCCCGTTATCGACAAAACAGAGCTACAACGAAATGTCAGCTGGGAATTGGCTCCCTGTTTGATTTAAATTTACATTTAAATGTTGTGTAGCAAATTGTGATTGGTGAGGGTCTTGCAAAAGTTGCAATCAGCATCTTTAAATCATGCTGAAGGGATCTATGAATATGGAGATTCTGAGTTTGTATCCGCTATCGAGCGAGGGGTTCTAGAGATTAGGGTTATTTATCAACGATCTCCCGCTGAACAAAAATGTTAAAGCAGATTTTTCGATCAAGTTTGAACAGATTTGACATTTATAATGACTACTGCAAACACTATATTCGTAATTTGCGTGTTATTTCTGGAGCAAAGCATTGGTATTATTATTATTTAAGCAGTAGAGTGTGCAGGTGTGGGTGGGAGTTGACATCCATTGCTGCTTAATGACAGTGCTGTTTGTGTGGTGGGTCTCCAGCAGAACCATGGTTGGCTGATGTGGCAGGAAATTGCTGTGGAGGAAGATTGGGCTTCGTGCTGGGCTGGGCTGTTAGCGGCTGTCCTCTACTCCCTCTCTTTCTCTTACCCTTTCGCCCTGTCTCCATCGCTTTATCCCCTAATTGCCCTCTTTGAGCTGGGAATGCAATAGTATAATTAGGATCTTATCTGGTTAGCATCGCTGAGAGGGGCACCAAGCTTTCTCTCCCAGCGTGATCATTCTCCCTTTCTCTGTTGTTACTCTATCATTTCAGCTTTCCTTCATCCTGTTGCCTCTTTCTCTTGTTCTCTCATGAGAAGCTTTGTCTGCCATTTAAGTGTACTCTCCTTGTTTGGTTCTTTGACAGATTGGGGACTTGGTGAATTTCTCAGTACCTATGAGTGTTAGAGGAGGTAGGGTGTTTTTTCCCCAGCAAATGATGCCCTCTGTGATGACAGGGAACTAACAAGGCTAGTCGAAAAATAAGTCCTGTTTTAGTTTAATAGAAGATATCTGTCCCCCTTTGTTGAAAGATTAAACATGTCCCCATCTTCATGGGAACATGTTAATGACCTTGCACTTTAAATAAAATACCATTGAGCTGTGCCAGGGCTGTGGCTAGCCAGGGTTTTTCCTGTTATTAGAGGAAAGTGTGGGAAGTGGTTGCAAAATCCTCACCTGTACTTAAAGAGAGTGTTTAATTCAAACCAGAAATAATTTTCCAAATTACTACACTACATGGAAATACCAGCCACCCTATTAAAATGTCTGCAGGATGTAGGCTGTAATGGCAGAATGATTTTGTAAGTTGTCAAAGCCATGAAGAGGCTCACATTGACAGAGTGCAAGCTGGATTCTCGCAGAGCCTGCAGGGTCAACCAGCTGTATGGGTCCTGCACTTTCCTGCAAATGGTTTATTTCATTATTACCCCTTTGCCTCAGACTGGAAATATGTAGTAAAATGTCTTATCAAATTGAAGCCATGGTAAATTGCCTCACTTTTTTGACCAATTTTATGGTAGCTTAGCTTGGATGACAGTCGTGAGATTGACCGTGACATTTATTGTGCAGGAAAGGGTCACGTGACCGGTTTCCTGGTGACATTCTGAGTAGAAAATTGATGCCGAGACACATGCAGCTGAAGGCTATAGATGGCCTCCCTATCGATAGCCTCTGTATGATTCTGTTCCATTGCGTATACGTATGAAGTGATCTCATGGTGAAATATACTTGTCATTAGATACATGTTTGTTTCCTGACCACAATATATGTTTGTGTAGGCTAATTGATCATTTCATTCCCTATACATGTCTTGTTTGTCAAGAGTGAATGTCTTGGAATGAGACTCTTTGTTTCCCCTTGTGTACCGTTGCAGTAACCATGACTATGAGTTGCTTAAGGTTAAACATTACTGTAGAAGATATTGTTGATTAACTAACTAACTCTTTGTATTTATAAGGCGATTGCTTTGCCCCTGGCCCAGCGTAAGTGTTACAATAGACAATATTTAATCCTCATACTTGCGGTGGCATGCTATCAGAAAGTCTCTCTCATCGGACCAACTAGTCAAAATAATGCTATTGATTTACAGCCCTTGTTTTCATTAGCAAACCCAGAGGCCAAAGGGACGAATATTGCTGTCGTTCCTTGACAGAAAGTGAAGAGACAAGAGAAAGCCATTGGGGATCGGTTGATTAGATACTGGCAGATAATGGTGTTTGTGTGGGCATTCAAATTATTATCTTTCTTAAATCTGTGTCTGAACTTCATTCCCTTTAGTCTTGTTTGTCTTTTGTGGCTCTCTAGGGTTAACTCCCACTTGTCCTCTACTATCCAGGCCAGCAAAAAACTTTATTCATTTCCTCCGATATAACTCATTATTCACTCAACTAAACAAGCTGTCTAATAATTGCATGTTACACCCTTGAATAGTTTTAGATGATATACTGTGAAAGGATTGGGTCAAAATGATTAACAATGCTACTGCTTGGCTCCTATGTATCTAATAGCAAGCTTCTTTTTTTTCTAGGACAACCCAACTTTTCCTCCGAGCTAATGTCACTCTCTTTTTCTCTTACAGTTACAGAGAAAGAGGTGCAGCAGTGGTAAGTGTGTGCATTAATTTTTAATGACATTTTTACATGCCTGATGTGAAGCTAGTCATATATTAGCAATTGTGTTTTTACTGGCATAGCTCTCTGTAATCATGAGGGGTCTTCTCTCGACCCACTTAGATAAAGGATTTTTATTTTCTGCGTCCATAGATAGTGTATTTATATTTGGTTTGATCGTTGATTTGAAGCAATCTCCCTCACTCTGCCCTGAAGACAGATGTGTTCTTAAAATAGAATGACTTTGAAGCCTTGCTGAGACTGAACGACTTTGAAGGCTGATAACACTGATACAAACATTTCCATGATGCATTCCTCAACAAACATGTATGCTCTATTAGCAAAAGGATAACTGATAACAGAAGAATTACTGGGGCTTAAGGTTGTTTCATTTTCAGGTCACTACATGGCCACAGAGTCCATTAGTAATCCTCTCTGTTGGATTCTTTACCTATTATTCAGTGTGACCTGCAGTGCAGAGGTATGATCCCTGGTTGTATATTTACTTTCATATATCAAAATGAAACATATGTATTAAACCGAGACCCCTCAGGTCAGGAAAACACAGAGCTGTGGTGAGAGTGATCATTACAGTTAAGGTGTGAATTTCTGAACGTTTTTCTTTTCAGAATTTCACAGCCGCCAGCACAGGGATCAGACCCACTTACGTCTTCATTTACAGAGTTGATTCAAGCATGAGCGTAGTCATGACTTTTGTTTGCCGTGCATGCTGCTCTTAGGCTATTGTTTCTTTGGAAATGAAAGGCAAAGAATAGAGTATATCAGAAGAGAGAGCAATGTAATAAAAATGATCACTCTTCCATGTTCACATTTCAATCCTCCTGCTAGGGTTTTGCATTTCACGACGTAATTCAGCATGCATGAAAAGATCTCTGTCTCCGGATCTAGACTCTGCTCTTGTACCCTGTTAGGGGGCTTACAGGCGGGGGTACATACAGTACCACACAGCAGCATTAGATATCATTGGGCATTGGCAGGTCAAGATCTTAGAGCTGGCTTGTCACAGGGGCTGACTGAGTGCACTGTGGCGGAATACCCCCCACCCCCCAGGCTGTGCAGCCAGCTAGCTCAGCATCACTCTCCCTGTTTTTCACAGCAAAGTTTGCCTGAGTCCTCACTTGAAGATCAGTGGCAATCAACACGGCTGAGTGTGAGGGATGAGAGGGAATTTTACCAGGGGAAATGCCAGATGGCGTGTAATTAGAGCACAGGCGCAGACATAGAAGAATTAGAGGGGTTAGATAAATGCCTGTGTTGTGCATTAAATGTGTTCCCCTTCCTAATTCTCCTCCTCCAAGCATTAGTGTGCTCCATGCTCACCTGAAATCAATAACAAAATGCTATAGCCCAGTGATGCTCCTGCCAGCTCTTCTGCACAATTCTATAGCAAAACCCCACCATGGTAGATGCCAAGGAGAAGAAGCCAGTGCCAGTGATAAATACTTAATCTTCATGCTGGCCCCCCAGTGTGGTCCAATGCACAATGTCACGTCTGCTATGTCCCTGCAAGTGCAGTGCACTATTTCACTGCTTCGAGTACATTCTGGCTGTTTATGTGTCTTAGCACCAGTGTCACCAAGCCATGATGTGTGATTGGCAAATGAAGGTGATTCTGATTCTGACTCTGACAAATAGCTGACACTAGGCAAACATGTTAACACTGGTACAGTGCCTTTACTGTACCCATGTACTGTAGATGTTTACTTTTGATTATGTAACTCCACTGGTACTATGTAAAATGGTAGTTAGCCTTGTGTGTGTGTGATACCAAATACCTTGTTAGCAAAGTTGTGTGATAATCAACAGGCTGAAGATAACAAATAATTACTTGATGAATGAAAACTCAAAGTGCATTGTAAAAACATTGACACTAGCTCAATCAATACTTATAATAATATTGTAAAAATATAAATATATCGGGTTTTAGTTGTTTGTTTGTTGATACGTTAAACTTAAAGACTTGATTTGATTAAAACATCTTTAAGATTGATTGATTTCTTTATTTGAGCTTTTATTTGATAATGTAAAGAAAAGAGCATGCAGGACACAGGAACGTTCTTTTAACATTAGTTATATCAACAAGTTGAACTCTTTACTGTTACTTAATGTTACTTATCAGTAAATGTATAGTCTGATAACGACACCAATATATATCTGTGATGAGCATATCTGTATGTCAGGATAAACATTTCAATTAAATGTCTGTTTATAAAGGAACAATGTCTGATATTTGACCCCTTTGAAATGTTTAAATACGAGCAATATACCACTCTTTGTAAGCGTTCCAGTTAGTCATTGAAGATTTCAAATGTGTAACTCCTTTTCGTTCCTTATGTCTGCACATGTGACAAAAATAATTAGTGCCTTTTTAATATAAATACTTAATGTTTGGCACTAAACAACCCTAATATGATGTATTAGTCTTATTATTATTACTAATGAATCCGCTATACTTACTCTAGAATAGTGTGTGAATACATGTTTTAGTATCTTAAATATGTTACAGACTTTTTAATTTGGTTGCTAGATATAATATTGCATAGTCTCACTATAAAACACACTAAAGAATTCAGGAAAGATGCCTTGGATTATTTATTGTGTGATCTGCACTGAATACTAATTAGATTGTAATATGCATTATATGTTAGCTAGGCTAACATTTCCCACATATTGTATCTCCAAATAATTCAAATGTGAGAATGACATGGTTGGGCTCTCTTCTTGCTGAACCTTTTCTCAGCTGCTCCTCAAAGCGTCTCTTCGACGAATTGGAGCTGGCTTCATTATCTCCAAGGCAGATTAAAAGTAAAGAGTTTAAGAGTGAAGAGCGAGAGTGAGAGTGGAAAAGATGTGTACTGGCCTCCATTCTTCAGAAGAACTCTCTCTCTCTCTGGCCGTAATTACAGCCCAGCCTTCCTCTGAATCACAGACGAACATGCAGTGCTCCCTTGTGCGTCATTTCTTGCTGCTGATCAAGAGCAAAAGCTTTTTGCAATTCTTTTTATAACTAGAGTGTTATTATTTCCTTGTTCTCATACTTTTCATCAAGCCTTTATTTTTGTAAAGGCTAACGCTCTCTTCCTCGTCCCTCAAGCTATTGCAGTGTAGCTAGACTTTGAGTTCGTGGTTTTCCTTTTATAAAAACAAACTAGGAAGCCGCCTACCTCTGAGTGACTGCCCTTGAAATTGCTTATGAGATGCTTCTATATTTAGACTAATAGAGATATTACATTTCTCTCCCAGATATATCATTTCCAGCGGCGAAAGGAAGCTCTCAGACTTATCTATCAGCCACGCATATTATCAAAGAGGACTATAGAGTAATTTGATTAGAGTTACCCACTCTGGGCTTGCTATTGGATTAGGGCGATGGTCTTATCTGTGAATGAGACAAACGGCTTTGCACTTTACCTTTTTGATCTTGCACCATCTCTTTAAACTGAATCAGAATTCCCTGCTGCAGGGATGAGGATGTGACTTCTGTCTGTTGTCATTGTTGTATAATCCTGTCTTATTTGATATATTTTCATCACATTATATATTTTAACTCTTAGTCTTATGTCTTTCTGTACTTTATTATTCAGGTACAAAGGATTTATTAAAGACTGTCCAAGCGGGCAGCTGGATGCTTTGGGCTTTCAGAAGATATACAAGCAGTTCTTTCCTTTTGGAGACCCTACGAAGTTCGCCTCCTTTGTCTTCAATGTTTTCGATGAAAATAAGGTAAGTGAAACATTTCTTATGTGTTGTTGTGAGGCAGCAAGAACATCTTCTATCTTTTTGTTGGTTCACAATGACAAAGAAGTAGTTTGACAGTGGCTGTGTGTCCAGGGTTGCTGCTAGAGAAGGAACATGATACAAAGTGACAGTGTCTGAGGATAAGGCTAATCTAAAGGTAAAAACAGGAAGAAGAATTCTTTGTGCTAATGTTTTGCTGACGTTATTTATAAGAACTGCAGGTTCAGTTTTTAACAGAAGGATTCAAAGGGCATGTTTAGTTATCTCAGTATGTAATAATTGCCATTTATTTGCTTTTTGTATTTTTATCTGCTATATTTTTTAGTCACTATTTTTCTAACAGCACAGTGGATTCTTTTATAAAAAAACATGAGTCAATAGTAACACATAAACGTAACCCTTCATTTTGTTCCAGAAATCAGTTTCCTGGAGAGCCAATTTATTTTTCAAGAGGTGCCTGTATTTTCGTATTATTCTACGTCTCTCTTACGTGGGAGCATTCTCTAAGGATTTGATGATGTGATGAGAAAGCACATTTTAACAAGGCCAAACCGTTAAATAAACATTTGTCTAGGGTAATCCACCTAAACACAGCTGTAGATTATTTAAATTGTGTTCAGGAAGGCAAACTGTCGATGAGCAGCTCCTGGGATGCTGGCAAGCCCCTGGAGATTTATTGACTCAGTTAAGAGGCTTTGTGTCAGGAAGATCAGACAACCCGTCCGTCTGATGTTTATCTCTGACCTTCGTTAGCGTTCTGCTCCCCATAGTTAGAGTATGCATTGATCTTAACAGTATTTATGACTTATGTAATCAGCAATGCATGACTGCAGCATTGTCTGGCTGGACAGATGTCTGGTGGAGATAGAAAGAACAGACCCCTGGGCCGTGAAGAGCTCTTTGCTGTCTTCTGAAAGCACAACCGTTAGCTGAACTCTGTCGCAGGTAGGAAGTTGTAGCAGAAAGTCGGAAACGTTTTTTTGTTGTTGCAACCAGTCCTTTAAGATCCGGTGAGAACATGAAGTCTGAAGGCTCCGCTAACAGAACATGGATTTGTACATTGGTGGAGGAAGTACTGAGATATTTTACCTCAGTAAAAGTAGTAATACCACCGTGTAGAAATACTATTACAAGTAATATCCTGCATTCAAAAGAATACTTAATTAAAGTGAAGAAATTAAAGCATCCACATTTCCTTAAAGTGCAAAAACAAATAATGTTGGAGAATATTAAATACACATTTAGAATATTATACTTATTGATGCATCATAGTGGTCGTGACTTTGTTGTTGCAACAGGTAGAGTAGCAGCTTATTTTTTACTATATATAATGCCGGGTACCTTGTAACATTTCAGGGAAAGATACATTTATCGCATAATACATAAATAATTGTCTTTTCTTATACTGAATTAGAATCCTCAATGTAACTCAAGTTTAAATGCAATACCTGCCACTTAATGGCAAAGTGTTTCCAATAGGGACGTTCACACCAAGTTCTTTTCCCACAATAGTTCATGAGAACTCTTTTAGTTCTGATGAACTAAAGCAGATCGCGTTCACACCGCAATGAGTTCCTGGGGGTGGATTAGGCAAATGAAGCCGCTGACGTCACTTCTTCTTCTTCTGCTTTGGGTTTACTGGCACTTCACGGCGTATACTGCCACCCGGAGTCCCCGGCCGGAAGTCCCCGGAGTTGGGGACTGGCTTCAGTAGAAGCTGCTGGGAGTCCCAGCAGCTTCTACTGAAGCCTTCCGAGTAAATCGCCAGAACCCCGACACCTCCTCATCTCCACCGCTCCCATGTTTTATTTTGTGTTGCCATAAGTTAGTCTCTCTGCGTTTGTGCGCTGGGCTAATGCTAATAATGCTAATGCGAGGATAATAAAATGGCGGCTTCACAAAACGTTTTTGGAGTTTTACGGGGCATGGTTTGCATTCCGCCCAGCCAATCAGACATAGGAACCTTTTTACCCCCTTTTCAGTCCCTGCTCTCTAGCAGGGACTGAAAAGGGGGTAAAAATGGTTCTGATGAACTAATTTAGTTCAGGGGGCTTTTTGGTGTGAACGCAAATATATCTGAGTTCTGATGAACTATTGTGGGAAAAGTACTCCGGTGTGAACGCGCCAAATTATTCTACTTTGTAAAGTACCTCAAAATTGTACTTAAGTACAGTACTTGTGCAATGTACTTAGTTACTGCTCACCACTGAATTTGTATGCAAGATGGCTTTTTACATGTGTGAAGGGGATGTCTTATTGTGCCTATTAAAGCGATTACTTTGAGTAAGTCTAATGCAGTTGTTTGAAGCTGGGGGTCAGAACTTCAGTGAGTCGCTCAGAATTAGCCACTTTGAGCCACTTAAAGCTCTGGTTTTACATCTGATTATTATCCATGTTAGCAGACGGTTCTCTCCGCTGCAGAGTGTCCTTGCCGAAAAACGCTGTAGGCCACAATTTCGGGAGGTTAATTGGAATTTCAAGCTTCTGTGGTACGATTCAGAGCATAGGATTCTCACAAAGCTCAGAGGGATTAAGTGACAGAATATTTTATACCTTGTCCAACATAATTATCTGCCATGTCCATTCACAATGCAGAGTCATTGAAAAAGATGTGACATTTCTTTGCCCCAAATATCCAGCGGATGGTTGTGTGCTGTTACTTTTTGGACATTGAGCCAGGTGCATCCATCTTATTAATGACCACAGGTGACATATTTCTGCCTCAGGAAACAGCCAGGTGCAGGGCAAAAATAGAAGTTGAGTTGGAGCAAGCGTCTGGCCCCGTTTTTCAAGGACATCATGAAAGAACAGCAAGGAGCTGATGAGAGGACGGCTAGTGTGAAGCAATATGCTCATCTTGTCTTTGGGCCATTTCCTCTCTAATGTTCTCTCTCTCTCTCTCTCTCTCTCTCTCTCTCTCTCTCATGCCACCCTGTAGGATGGACGCATCGAGTTCTCCGAGTTCATCCAGGCCTTGTCAGTGACCTCTCGGGGGACTCTTGATGAGAAGTTGAGATGTAAGAAGATGCAGTCTCCTCCCCTGTTTGTTGACATTTAAATGACAGGATGTAAGGCTCACTGCCATGTATGCATATGTATGAGGACTGTCGGTTTAGAAAAGCAAATAGGGGATTATTAACAAACAGTAGGCACATGCAACCTGGGGGTCATGACCCAATAGGTTGATGCCCTTTCTTGAAAATCAAACACTGTGGAAAAAAACTCTCAACTGTAGATGTAACTGTACGTTTGGTGTGATCATTATTATGTGCACCATTATTACTGTCAACTTTTGAACTGAAAAGCAAACATGGAAAGCTGCTGCCTGTCTGTTCTCACCACTTCCAAATATAAAACAAAACACTGTGTGCTTTTTATTCCATGAAAGATCTAAGTTTAATCTTTTGTTTTACATTATGAAGTCACGGGGGTTCTTATTCTAGTAAGGCCTCACCTGCCAAAATATTTATATTCAACACCTTTCTCTATACAGGGGCTTTTAAACTTTACGACCTTGATAACGATGGCTACATCACCCGAGACGAGATGTTAAACATCGTAGATGCCATATATCAGATGGTGGTAAGATGGTTTACCAGATTCCAAAGCATCACATCAACATTTTTTGAATGGTACAACATGTAATGATTTAATATCTTTAGGGGAACACTGTGGAGCTGCCAGAAGAAGAAAACACACCAGAAAAACGAGTGGACCGTATTTTTGCAATGATGGACAAGGTTAGTATTTTTACATTTAAGTGTATAGTCACAAAAGACTTAAGTGATAGACAGTGATATTGCACAAGTTGTTGTACCATTGATGTTACTTTCTATAGTGTTACGTCAATCTTAGCCTGTTAAAAGTGCAGTAAAGATTATACGTTTTCTATAAAGAGGACTGAATCTGCCTTTGTTGCCACCCTCGGGGATCCTACATGGACACTGTTAAGTTTAGAGCGGTTAGCTGTAGCCATCACAGCGTCACTAACACCGCCTGCAGTCTATAAACATCATATATAGTCTCCACCACCACTAGCCCTCGGTGCTAATGCCCATTCCCTCAGCCCCAAGAATCTACTCAGCTTTAGTGAAAGATGAGACGCAGTGTGTGTGTGTGTGTGTGTGTGTGTGTGTGTGTGTGTGTGTGTGTGTGTGTGTGTGTGTGTGTGTGTGTGTGTGTGTGTGTGTGTGTGTGTGTGTGTGTGTGTGTGTGTGTGTGTGTGTGTGTGTGTGTGTGTGTGTGTGTGTGTGTGTGTGTGTGTGTGTGTGTGTGTGTGTGTGTGTGTGTGTGTGTGTGTGTGTGTGTGTGTGTGTGTGTGGCGGCAGCCCACTACTGCCAAGATCAGCCAATTGGACTAGCTGTGCAGCACAGCAGCACTTATAGTGATTTGTATTGGCAGAGAGTGGCTACCATCCAAGAGCACTGACCAAAGATCAGTCCAACAGCACAGAAAAGCAGCAACATTACCTTAAGAGGCTTTTTTGCCCCCTGCTGGTAAATGCATGTTAAAGCATTAAAGGGGCTTCAGTGTTATCTCTTTCTTATGTTCCTCTTTCAGAATGCAGACGGGAAGCTGACTCTGCAGGAGTTTCAGGAGGGTTCAAAGGCAGATCCTTCTATTGTTCAGGCATTGTCTCTCTATGATGGGCTTGTGTAGGAATGTAAGGTGAGTGGGTTTTATTGAGCGAGTAGCTGCGTTCGTCTGTGCATGGCTGATTAACAAGCCCAGGTCGTGCTTTAACTCCAGGATAATATTTTCTTAGTCTTTATTCAGCAGAGCAAAGAATAATAAAGAAAGGAAATGCATTCTGTGGGCTGTAACCAAAGTGAAGAAGCCACTTTCAGCTCTCAGTTTGTTCCTATGAATTATTCAAATGGCCCACTTGTTTGCTGGCAATCAAATAGTCTTGTAGTGAGGAGCGAGACAGCCCTCTGCTCTCACTGCTTAATGTAATGCACCGGCCGCTGCCAATTGTTGCTGACATCCTGTTCAGCGTTTTGTCAACTGCGAAGTGAGCTCTTGAAGACATATTTCAGACAGAAGCTCTGTTTAGTGATTTATCCTGCATGCTCTGAACACACCCATGTTTGATGACACCCTTTTACTGTCATCTATTCACTGATGATCATCTTACAACTTCTCAGATGGATCCAACTCAGCATCCACAAACCAATCCAGCGCCATCACACCTGCAACGAGAAGAAGCCACTTTAAACTCGCTCACCTAGAAGTGGACTGCAAACTCTTTGTGGCAGTAGCTGTTCGTCTACATTTCCAGTTCGGATTGTAAACAAGTATATCCTCTGATGTGACAGAGAACTCAGCAAAACATCAGCAAATCCCTCAGTCATTTATCCGTGCTTCTACAGATATGTTGCACCGCGTACACCCTTGAGTGTTGTGGACTGTGTGCGAGCATTTCTTCAAACGCAGTGTTGTGATTTCCCAATGCACAGTCCAAGGAACAAAATTCCCTTTCCGAGATGTTGTCTTGTTCACATACTGTCAGTCTGAGGATGCATGTGAAGCGCTCGGAGGAACTGTCCTGCTGCTTCACCACCACATGGAGAGACTTGAAACCCGGGAGAATCTGGCAAAACGTGTTACTTGGTGATCATTTGAGCACTTACTAAAAGTTACAAAGCAGTATAGTGTACAATGTATAATGTAAATAGAATGGTAATTTATTTTCTGCTTTGCTGCGTTTATGGGAATTTCCTCATAAGTATTGAATGAAGTTTTATTTTTTATGAAAGGTGTTGAAATGTATTGCACTGTATTTCTCATTATTTGGGGATTTATTTTCTTCAGACGTTCAAAAGTTTCCTTATTCCTGAGAGAATGGGGCTTTTATTTGAAGAAGAGCGTTGAAGGACCCGGAGGTTACTCTGGATTATTTTACTATGTTTGCAGTCTCTGCATCCTATTGTGTTTTTATTTCCCCGTTAGCACTAGTGTCTGCAGTGTTGCACAGCCACATCCTGAACAACATGACCAGGCAACACAGCCAATTCTCACAGCTTACATCTGAACTGAGGCTCATTATTTGAGAGCATCGTACTCCACCCTCTGCACACACACACAGCCTGGTCATTGAGACACGGGCACAAACAGACATCGATTCTGGTTGTAAAGCTTTTTGCGAGCTCTGTTGTTGCAATTGTCCACTCGTATTTGTCCTGTGAGAGGCCAGAGCATGTGATGATGCCTTTTTTTCCATTGTTGGATTGTTTTATTTACAGCATTAAGATGTTTTATCAGCTTGACTGATTTTATGCCTTATGCAAATGATAATTTACTAAATGATAAATGTCATTTACCTGTTGATTAACGGTATAAGAGCACACAATAAAATGCATTTAAGTGGCTGACTTTTCTATTGCTTCATTCTTAGTCTTTGTACTTCATTAATATTGAAACGTTTTTATGTTCAGGTACTTGGATAACAACTGTTGCTCAAATATGTATTTCAAAACAACTTTCTTTATGATCCACAATGAATCACTTCTGAAAACGATAATCTATAACTTTTACTAATTGCATTGAATCCAAAATTGAAATAGGATCAGTATGGCCTTGAGCTTCTTCACTTATCGAAAAATAATATAATTTTGAGCGTGTGTTATGTTTTGAAACACATGTTTTGTTCTGTGATAAAAGTCTCCACTGATTGGTTGTGAAAAAACAATGAGGTCCATTAATATGAGTTAATGAGGCTCCTTGGCTTTAGAAGCTGCTAGGCCTGCGCAGACCTGCTTTCTGTTTCTTATCAACAGGGACAGATGCTAAGATATATCAAGATGAGGAGGTCAGGAGGGTCCGGAGCTTTGATCACAGGCTGTTCTGTGCTTTATGTCCATCTTTCATTCACTTTGTATTTTATAGGAGTTTTAAAAATAGCATCTGTAACTAAATGAAGAGAGCAATCAGCTTCTTGTCTCAGAAATACTCTGGGTCCTTACAACTTTTAAGAGGACACTGAATTATTTACATTTATAAGACTAGAGCTATAGCTTCCTTTGTGAGGTCTGATCTCCTTTTGAAAATATCTTTCATAGCTAGACATAAAGTGCTTATGATATTTAATAATAAATAACATGTTTCAATCCAGAACAGCTAATGTATGCAATAAAAAAAGGAAAGTGTCATTTCTGAGTGGCACGCTGAGCTATTCTACCCATTCATATGTCAAGGGGAGATTTCTCAGCGTGTGCTATGTATAAAATTAGATTGGTGTCGGTGGGATATAAATGAACGCTATTTATAATAACGAGGCTGTTACTGAGACAATGTTCTCGGCATGTCCAGAATACAGGCTCCAAACTCCGCTGGTAATGTGCGCAAAGCTGTTTAAAAAAAACGGGTCTCTAGGGGCCCACCTCGATTACGGAGAACATTGAATAGAAGGAGGGGGTGTGGTGTCGGATAGGGTTAAAGCCTGGAAGTCACAGTGGGGTCGAGGTACACACACACACACACACACACACACACACAAATCAGGTTGGGTCTCGGGAACCTTTTAATACCCATCTCCGCCCCCGTTTGAAGCGTCAGAGCACCAGCTCTCCAGGGTCTCTCCAACACAGAGCCAGTCCGCACGCTCCTCCAAACTTTACGCACCGATGTACTCCTGTGGAAGTATTTTACTCTGGATTTTGATGTCTTTCAGCTGAGTCGTATTGTTCCAGATATATTTTTCTACCGATTGGAAGTGCTCCCAGACTTTGTATTGCTTTGAAATCTGAACTTTAAAAAACTTTCTTCAACTTTTAACATTTGTATGTGATTCGCCTCATTCCAGCAGACAGATGCAGTCAATCTAAATAAACATGACCGGTGTCTTATTAAAGTGCCTAGTCTTCGCGCTGTGTGTCGGCGCGCACAGGCTCCTGGCAGTCCCTCGGGCTGAGGAGGATGATGGTTCCGGTGACAGTGCCTCGACCCTGGCCTTTGTGTTCGATGTTACCGGCTCCATGTACGACGATCTGAAACAGGTGATAGAAGGCGCCTCGCGGATCCTGGAAAGGAGCCTTAACAGGAGGACCAGACCCATCAAAAACTTTGTGCTGGTCCCCTTTCATGACCCAGGTACTCTTTGACCAAACAAAAAAAAGTTACACAAAAGCTATTTTATTATGAATGTGTCATCTTGAATTTGAATGTTTGTGTATTATAATTATGAATTACTACAGCTTCTAACAAATCAGCCAAAATGATCAGATTGTTCTGCATGTAGCCTACTTGCAATGTGAAACTAAACATGTAGTTTACATTGCCACTGATTATGACATGTATCTGTAGCTGTCATGTGTTTAGGTTAGCTTGAAAAGATCACAGCAAACGGCAACACAGCTCAGAACCTGTTGCACATGTTGTAGCCCTTATCTGTCTCAGTAGAACAATTGGAACAAAGAGCAGCACATTAAACTCAAACTGATACAAGACATCAGGAAAATGTGTGTGTGAGAGTGAGGAGTGTGTGGGACAGGTAAATCTCTTCACCCCGGCATCTGTCCTCCTATGGGAAAGCTGCAGCTTGAAAATAAGAGTGCTCTAATGGGGGAGGGTGTTTGAGCACTGATGAGAAGCATATGCTGTCTGCTTGTGTGTAATTACCCCACTCACCCCCACCCAACCCACCTCCATCCAAGCCTCCGGAAAACCCTCGTAGCCCCAAGTTTAGCCAGTCAGGGGGGGATGGTTTGCAACACTAACACCACACATGTTGTCTGTGTTTAATGTGCCCTGCCCTTGGGGACCTTGTAAACTTCCAAGATTGCAGCGGTGGCTGACAAAGAGGCGTGACAGTGCTGTCAGTGTTTTACAGTCACTCATGAGAAGGAGACAAGGACTTGAAAGACTTTGCTGTTGCAAAATGGATTGTGAATGAGTAGGAAATGTAATCCGCTTGACACATGTCTGCAAACTCAGTATCATTAGTCTCCCAGAGAGGCATGAAAATGTTATTTGACAGTCAGAATAACAAGCACAGACACACAGAAATCGTGAAGCTCCACCCTACCTGATAAGGGTCTTCTCTGAAGCAACTATAATGAAAGGCATGTGTTTATAGCCAGCCGTGTTCTGTAGCAAAAACAATGTGTTCTCTGTGTATTGGTTAATGTTTACTGTTCCTGCAATTGGCCCCACAAGGCATCCAAGAAAGCGCCAGGCCCTGACAGGTTCTTATCCATCACACTGGAGTCTGCTGCTGCTGCTGCTGCTGCTTGAAGAACAGTAGGAAATGCTGACTCCAGCTGCAGAAAATTATCGTCATCCGAAATTTGGCCAGATTGTAGTGATTTGTGTTAAGCAAAGCCCGAACATTGCAATTTTGTCAGTGCAGCAATCTACGTGCCGTGTGGTGTTTGTGATTGAATATTCATGTCTTGCACAAAAGATACAGGGCATCCCTCTGGTCCTGATAAGTGTGGCTTATTTGGGCTTTTAAAGATGGCTTATTTTCTGCTCAAAGATGCAGAATTGCTGAAGGAACAACTAAATCCTTTGTTCTGATTAAGCTGTTTTTGTTTGAAGAGTAATTCACAAAAGTTAAGTACTTATTCGCTTGAGATAAATATATTTAGGCATACGCTATTGTGTAGCAACCAGAACATGATTTATTAGGCTGACTTCATTTGGATTTTGTTCACTAAGTCTCTGTTATGATATACATTTCCGTCCTCCCAGATATCGGCCCTGTTTCCATAACCACGGACCCAAAGAAGTTCCAGCAGGATCTGCAAGAGCTGTTTGTCCAGGTGGGAGCCAGAATACATGAAATCATTATTCTATAGGAGTGGGATTAATGTATTCATCCACACTAATCCAAGCGAAAGTGAGCTAATGTAATGTCTACCAAACAGCAGCTACTGTGGGAAATGTCATGATGGTAAAACGTAGTAAGACTGGAATCATAAAGTTAATTATCTGACAATATATATCTATCAGGTTAGACTGAGTGTATTTTGTTGAGCTGTGTGTTTATTTTGTATCTAAATGTATGTTTTCATATCTAAAAAGCATATTGTCTTATTTTAAAAAGCACTTTGTGTTTAAATTACTGTTATATTTTGAACGTTTCAATTAATTATTTGCCATTATTTGTTTACCCTTTAAAATGGACATGATTCTGAAAGCTGAGCTATTCCAGAGTTGTTAACAGTAAAATCAGTATGAATGCAGTTTAGAATATGATATTTAGCTTTTATTTCTTCTGGGAGTATTTGATTTGTAATTCTGTCACTTAGGGCGGGGGCGACTGTCCTGAGATGAGCATAGGAGCCATAAAGAAAGCCTTGGAGGTTTCTCTGCCTGGATCCTTCATCTACGTGTTCACTGACGCCAGAGCCAAAGACTACCGCCTGAAGAGAGACGTTCTGCAGCTGGTGCAGCTCCGCCAGTCACAGGTACGGCCCCAAAGTGGACAGGGGTGTGAGGGTGTTCAAGACATACTGTACATGCATCAGTCAATTTTACATTCATTCTTCTCACAGTATGACAGAGGTTCTTCCTTTAATACAGCTGCAGTGTATTAAAGCTGTACAGAAAACATGTAAGCAAGGATTTAATTTGGTTTTCTTTCCCATGATGATGCTGGTAGGGGGAAGTCATTGCTCACAGACTTTTGAGTTTCTCTGCATTCATCACACGCTATAACAAAAGGGAATACAGTTGCCTGCTGTGAAAGATCTACATCCCAATACAAAGCCCTGACTCTCAGCTGAGCAGAGGAGAGTCTCTTCAAAGTTCCTCCAGTCCCAGCCTCTACGTGAGGCATGACAATGAGCATTAGCGTCACTTTGGAGGCCACTGAAAAGCGAGTGCGTAAAGCAAACACTGAACAGTAGTAATCCCCTTAACTCTTCCTGCCCCCCCGCCCCTCTTGTTCCCAGGTGGTATTTGTGTTGACTGGGGACTGTGGGGACCGCTCTCAGCCTGGCTACAGGGCGTACGAGGAGATTGCTGCCACTTCCTCTGGACAAATATTTCACCTGGACAAGCAGCAGGTCAACGAGGTGAGAGCATGACAGACTTATTCTCACTAAACCCTTATTAAAATCTTTTCACACAGAATAAATGATTTAATATAGAATTCTGCTAATATAAAGTAGAATTTGTATATTCAGATGTGTATTTGAGGCACAGGAACAAGAGAAAAGCATTTATTTAGTGAAATCAAATGATTCCAAAGCCGATATTAGACTTCCTGTTCATATGATAACAGTGAGTGACTCTTTTATATGTAACAGAAGCCCTGTCTGAGAAGCCAAAGACAGCAGGGCTCCCTTCCCCGGCAGACGTAAAAGAAGCCAGAGTTTCCTCTGGAAGAGACACTGGTATCCTGCGTGTCAACACAGGAGATAGC